TAAGGACTGTTGCTTGAGCTGCCACACCGCCTTGCTTCATATCACTTTCATGTCCTTTGATCGATGTCCTTCCTTGCCTTGCTGTTGCTCGCGGGATCCCGAGTGTGCGCAGGAGATGGACAAGCTCACCGGCTCCGTGCGCGTGTTCGCGCGCGCGAAGCCGGAGGACACTGCAGGGAGGGATGTGCAGACGGTCTGAGTGGGGCTGAGCAATCTACAGCTAGAGATGCTGAGCGGCGAGAGCCCTGCGAGAGCCCCGTGAGGACAAGCTGGAGATTGTGAAGAGCATTCAGCGACAAGGCGGGAGCTTCGGACGTGGTGGAAGTGGTGGAGTCAGGAAGGTCCCCAGGCCTGTTGCAGAACCCGGGGCCCCTGTCAGGACAGGTGGCTGCTATGACAGGCGATGGTGTGCCTTGGCAGCATTCTCACGCAATCAGACGGCTCCTGCTCAAGCCAACTGGTGCTGGCTGCTTGAGCCACTTCTCCACGACTGGTACCAAGGTCAATGATGCTCCTGCCCTCAACCAAGCAGACATCGGGGTGGCGATGGGAATCCAAGGGACCGAAGTTGCGAAGGGCGCCTCTGACATGACGCTCCGCGCAAAGGTGCAAGCTACACTGCCAGTCAAGTCTGGAATCAGGAAGAGCTGTTCGGCAGTTTGGGCTGGGCCCCTACATGCGGCAGACATCCGAGGATTCTGACAGATGATAACTTCTGCTCGATCGTTGCTGCTGCTGGAATCTAAGAGGGCTTGCAATGACATGATGGGATGAAGAATCTAGCCGCGCCGGCCTGTGTCGCATGTGCCTCGTAGTTTGTCACCAGTTTGATGGCAGATGACGCCCTTAGACTTCCCACTTCCTCGCTTGAGGTCGAGAAGGGCCGAGCCATCTATGCGGGCATCCAGAAGTTCGTAGCCTTCATCATGTCTGTCCACATCGCTGAGGTGGGGGGATTCCTATTGGAAGCCCAGGTGAAATCAGGTAGCAGCACCACAGCAGTTGCGCTGCCTGCTTGTAGGTGATGCAGATCTTCATCTGCATTGTGGTGGGAATTCCCGTGCCTTGGCTTGACAATGGCTGGTCTTGCGGATGGCAAGGTTGCAGTAATAGTTTGCAAAGTCTTAGGCAACGGAGGGTGCTTGGAGCGGCAGTATCTTGCAAGATGTAGGAATCTGCATGCCAAGTGCAGGTGATGCGGACGCCGCTGCAGATCCTGTTCCTGATCCTGGTCACCGACCTGCCCCCTTCCATCGCCCTGGGTGTCGAGCCAGGCGTGGGGCCTGCGGGTCGCACAGGGACAGTTAGGCTTCTCTTGCGAGGTGTTACTTGTACGTGATTCGAGCATATTCTCCCGAAATACTAGCTGGAGGTGAGGCCAACATCCTGAAGATGCGCCCGCGGCCGAAGGCGGGAACACACATTCCTGAATGCATCGGAATATATCAGAGTTCTGACTCGCGAGTTTCGAGTGTCTTTGATCATGCAATTGTTATCGTGAGATGTCAACCATTTACGACCATCCTGCGCTTTGATGGCGCGGGATTCCAGCACACAGTCTTGGTCTAGCAGTGGCCGGTCAAAATTGGTCATGGTGACCAGGATGAACCGATCGTGCTGGCCTGGCAGCTTGTTAGCAATTTGTTAGTGCCGCGCTTCTCTGTCACCAGGCCCACTCCGGACTGCAGAAATGTATTTTGAACCATAGCATGTGCTAGGCACTGCTAGGCCCATTCATGCTTCGTATAATCCACTTCAGCGGTCGTCATTTACTGAAAGCTGAAGCTGCTGCTATTAAGACTCCTGGGTCATCTTCTAAGTGCTATGCTCTGTCTATCGCGCCTGGTTGAAGTGCCTCACCGCTGCCTCCTGGGTTTGCGAAGCTTCTGGTGCAAGCCCTTTTGGGGTCTGCGAGGATGTGGCTGGCCATGGTCATGAACGGCATGGTTCTCACGGTGCTTTCGATGCAAGGAGCCGGCAGAGCCGGCAGAGCTCCTTTGGAAGACTTCTTTTTTCAGAGGTATACCTTTAGGGAGACGCTGCTGCAGCCTTTGTTCGTGTTCCAGCGCCTAAGTGTTTTTTTTCTCTCTCAAGCTAAACCAAGACCGTCATCGTCGCCGTCTACCTGATCTCACTGATGAACTTCTGCGAGGGCGAGATCCTCCAAGCAAACATTTACTTGCTGGAAGGCTGGCATAGACTTCCTAGACTCTTCTAAGGCCAATTTGGGCTTCCGCCTTTTTCAGGCTGTTTGGAGGAAATCTTCTGTAAGCTGTAAGCCTTCAGTCATGGTGGCTGCGTGTTTATATGTAAGCATAAGGGTACATAAGGATCCCGAACGGCTTGACTAGCATTTCAGCAGTGCAGGCTATGAGACCAAGCGTCTTGGCTGCAAGGGCTTTCCCTCAGCCTGCAAACTGCTTCGATCTGCATGCTGGTCATAGGCTGCCACACGAATTGCCTTTTCGCCTCAGGCTGAGCCTGGCCCAGACCGTTGCCTTCATCTCCTTGGTCTGGTGCGTCGCTGAGTGTGTGGAAGCTAGAGCTTCAGGAAAACTTTCCGACGCAAGCTCCTCACAGATTTTTGGACAGGTCAGAGAACATCCGCGCGTACATCTCCCGTTCCTTCACCAACCCGATGTGGCATGACATCTTCGGCAACAAGGTCGGACCGTACCAGTTGCGAGCTAGTTTCTAGTCTGGGACTAGGCTAGGCCGGTTCGCAGGGCAGGGAGTGGCTGAGGGCTTTGCAAACACCGTGATGTCGGCGTGTGCCGGTCCGTGGGCACGGTGTCCAGGAGATGCAGAAAGCAATTGTGCTTGCCCAGATCTGTCTCTACGGGGCTACTTCGCTGATGTTCTCAGAAGGGTGCAGTATGCAGATGCGCAGCAGGTGCATTCTTGTTTCCACGCGAAGGGAGACCCGTGTGAAGTTCGCTGCGTGGCGACCGAGGCCGTGTTGATCCCTTACCTCTCTGACAAGATCCTCGGCCTCCGAGGTTTGGAGATCGGCCCGGGCCCCAGCAGCAGGGCTGACCCACGAGCACAGCTCCAAGGTACACCTTTTTGCAGCATGCACGGTGCAGCCTTGCAAGGAGTCTTCGGCTGGGCTTTGGCACTCGTTGGCCCGGTGGGTTGCTTTATCCTCTCTGAATCCTGCAAGATCATCAGCCAGGGCCACAGCATCAGCAAAGCCAGTCGCATGAGATGAGATATGATGAGATGGCAGTCCAAGGGTAGGGTACTGGTACGGCAAATTCAAGTTTCATAGGTCTTCTGGTGGTACATGGGGTCA